TCGGTCTTGCAAATGCTCTCTGTAAAAATCAAACTGGACACCGTAGACCCTCTGTATCCGTTTCATCCCTCCAGCTTTGTTGATGTAAAGAACGACACAAGACTGAAACTTACCTCGCAGGAAGTCGCGGAATGGCAAAAGCATCTGGAGAAGACGCATAAGTGGACGGAATCGAAATTTCCGACTCAGTGCTGGTTCTTGACGTTGCATTGCCATCACATCGCGTTACTACCGGCATTGCAAAAGTATCAAAGAAAATTGCGAGCGTTACGCGACTTAAAAAATATGCTCAACGAATTGCAAGCCACGGAACCCCAATGGAAGGATAGCCCCTTCGCTGAACATAATAGAGATTTGATTAAACAATGGAAGCAGCAATCGGAGCAATTAAATAAATTTAAATCGTGCGCGGACGCAGGTCTGATAGATCCTGTCTTTTTAAGAAGATGCTTACACTTTTATATATCCGTGGCCGAGGTTTTGTTGAGTCTTCTGACACAGACTGCCCCAGGTAACCCTCTCCCTAAACTTCCACTTCCTCAGGAAGTCACATGCAAGTTTACCGCATTACCGGAATGGTACGTGGAGGATATAGCGGAATTCTTGGTGTTTACGCTCCAGTAAGTTCTCGTTATATATATTATTAAGTATTATAATTATACAATGATACGCTTATTAATAATTATAACTCCGCGTGTAGATTCTGTCCTGGAGTAGTGGTAAGTGGTAATATGGATAATCCGCTTATCACATGGCTACTGGTCGTCGTGTGTACACCGCATTGTATACGAAATCCGTATCTAATCGCAAAAATCATCGAGGTCCTCTTTGTGATAAATCCTAGCCCTCAGGTAAATTTGTTAGGAAAATACTTATTGTTAAATTATATTACTTCATTACTGTGTGTGTGTGTGTGTGTGGGTGTGGGTGTGGGTGTGGGTGTGTGCGTGTGCGCGCGTCAACAACTATAATCTTCTGCAGGGAAGAACGGAGATTCTCCATGAGAAAGTCATGGCGCATCCTATATCCAAGACACTTTTGGCGTCGTATCTCATGAAGTTTTACACCGACGTTGAAACCACTGGCTCTAGTTCCGAGTTTTACGACAAGTTTTCAATACGTTATCATATAAGTCTAATCTTGAAATCAATGTGGGATAGTCCGGTACATCGAGCGTCTATCGTCAATGAAAGCAATAATGGCAAGCAATTTGTCAAGTTTATCAACATGTTGATGAACGACACTACCTTTCTACTTGACGAGAGTTTGGAATCTCTGAAGCGTATACACGAGGTGCAGGAACTCATGTCGGACACTACCGCGTGGAGTGCACTCCCCCAAGAGCAACAGCAATCGAGGACAAGGCAGCTGGCAGCAGACGAGAGACAAGCCAAGTCTTATCTTACACTAGCCAAGGAAACAGTTGCCATGTTCCACTATCTGACGGTCGATATTAAGGAACCGTTCCTACGACCGGAATTAGTCGGGCGATTGTGTGCCATGCTAAATTTCAATTTGCAACAATTGTGCGGACCTAAGTGCAAAAATCTGAGAGTGAGAACACAGCAAAAATACGGGTGGCAACCAAGGACGTTACTTAGCCAATTGGTTGATATATATTTGCATCTTGACTGTGATAATTTTGCGGCCGCTTTAGCCAGTGACGAAGTTAGTGTCTTTCCATTCATCATTCATACATCTCATTAAATATATAGATTAATACAAAAAATTGTTTTTTTTTTCCAGCGTTCGTTCTGTAAGGAATTATTCACGGACGCTGTAAGCAGGCTACACAAATATGCGATCAAAACTACCACGGAAATTGAGAGATTTATAGCGCTCGCGGAACGTGCGGCGATAATCGCGAGAGATAATCGCGCGCGTGATGCAGACTACGGCGACGCTCCTGAGGAATTCCGAGATCCATTGATGGATACTCTTATGGAGGATCCAGTCAGACTACCATCTGGTATTGTTATGGACAAGGCAGTTATCATTAGACATTTACTCAATAGTGCCACGGATCCTTTCAGTCGGCAGCCACTTAGCGAAGACATGCTGACACCAAGTAAGTGCACCGTTTACATTTTCTTTTATTAGTATACGGTAAAATGAAGTTTTTCTTGGCTTAAATACGTCTAACAAATAATAACAGGGTTTCGTAGCAACATATTTTTATATAGAATACATTCTGCAAATATGTGATGCATGTACCACAACCAATTATGCAGTTTTTTATTTAAAATATTTTTTATATTGTGGAATTAATATCTTTTTACATTTTAACTTCAAAATATAAGAATTACCGAAAGATTGTATTATTCATATATCCACATATATAATTTTACAAAAATGTATAAAAATTTTATTAAAATGCATTAAACTGATGATTATTATTGTTGCAGTGCTCGACTTGAAAGAAAGGATATCTGTATGGAAACAACAAAAAAAAAGATCGACGAATATATAAACGGTGCTAATGTGATGAGAATTCTGCAAGTAAAAATATAGGAGTAAAAAAATTTAGCATTCAAAAAAAGAGCGAGAGAGCGAGCGAGAGAGTGAGGGGAGGGGAGGGGGAGGGAGGTAGGGAGAGGGAGGGAGAGATTAGCATACAACATAATTGCTAACATAATTGTCAATATTGCACGATACATTCTATCAGGCAAATGCATCGATCCAGTGCAGTTTGAGGAATATAGTGCAATGATCTCGCTATTGTGCAACAATTGCGCTCAATAAATTTACAGTTTTTATACAATAAAACATTAACTCAGACTGCAGCTAGCAAACTGCCAATATATTGCTCCAAACATACTTTAGAAAGTTGTAAATAATTACTGGCTACATGTCAGTATTCAAAATCACATTATTCATAAATAAGCAACATTACTTTTTACGTCTTTCGATGTATGTGGCAGCGGGTAAGTTTGAAGCATATCCCGCAAAGATATAATGTTAAATAGTATAAAACTAGTAATATTAATGACTACTATATACTTCCACGAACTCGACATTTACAAATAAAATTATTATTGACAAGAAATCTACATGTGCATAAGATTTATAATTCAATGATTTCAGCAGTACTATTTAAAGGTGTTATATATAAAATTGTAATGTATAATTATTTGTCAATCCTCAGGACGATAGTTGAAAGTATGGAAATTGTTTACAATAGTCAAATTCGTGGATTACTTTGCATTCTTTTGCTAAAGATGCAAAAACACATCACGCTCTATCTATATATAATTCAGATGTTATTTTTTGGCTTTATTTTGTAAAGAAGATAAAATGTTTTTTTTACAGATAAATGCTACATCATGTATATGTACTAGTTTGCAACATTTTGAGTTACACACTTTGTTTTTAATATGAATGTTATTTTACTTTGAATATAGTAAGATTCGAGCATTTTTATTTTTTATGTGACTTAACTGTCTTATCATAACTTTATTATATACATATATGCACAAAGGACATTTCCATTTATTAATTTTTATTAACAAAATAATGCATATATGTATGTGTGTGATTAAATGTAAGTATATACATTTATCTTTTCTCTATCAAATTATTTCTTTATCATTCATTAATCATTATTTATTTGCTTATTTTGTGCAATAAATATATATACATATGTGCGCGCGCGCGCGCGCGTGTGTGTGTGTACACACACACACACACACACACACATATATATACATATATGTATGTAACATTCCAAAGAAATTACAATATTTAAAGAATGTAGTTTGAATTGTGCTGCATTAAATTCTAAGCTATTTACTGATTGAATATTTAATATGCATCTTGACTCATAATTGATTCATAATCTTACTTTTCAAAAGTAATAATTGCATTTATCCAGTGTCACATTTATTTTGACGATTATCATATTTTTACTTTAATAATTCCACACACTGATAACATTATGATGACATTAGAACACGTTCTGTCATTAAATGTAAATATAAATTTATATACATCATAGTATTATGGATCATGATTTGAATATGCTGCACATACAAAAGTTTGATACTACATGATCACAGTATAAAAATCATTATTAGTCCTAAATTTCTAAAGAAGTATAAAAAAGGTAATTATTCAATGATAAAAGCTATGTATCATTTGTCATACTTTTGTGCAACGTATCTATATAGGAAGACAAAAGACTTGACATAAAATTTAGAAACTTTGGTAGAATTCATAACTAGGATTACCAGATGAGGCGACAAGTCATCTTTTAAGTGATTTGCAAATTTTGCAGTAGGCTTGTTTGTTTTAATCGAACTTGTTTGCACGGTTGATCATCCTTTCGTTAGAGAAAAGAAAAATTAAATTATGCAAGAAATTCAGGAAATTCAATAAAAGAAAAAGATCTATTGCAAGTCGCTCAATAATTGCCTTGTAGGCGATATTAAGCAGTATGTCGCCTACATCTGACAATCCTGTTCAGAACTACATTAGATAGCGGTCTTTTTGGTACAATTGTTTTGTGAAATAATTAAAGATGGAGATACACATACATACACACACACATATACACATATACAATTGAAGTATTTAATAATATATTAAGATACCCCCCCCCCCCCATACATGCTATTTGTATATATAGATTCAAAAATAGTCTAATCATGAAATTTGATATTGTTTTTTATATGTATATATTTGGGTATGTGTATGTATATATATATATATATATATGTATGTATATACATATTTGTGTATGTGTGTATGTATATATATGTATGTATATACATATGCATACGTATACATATGCACTAGGCAATGTCTTTATTCATGGAAAATTCACTTCAAATAATACCTGTAAATACTAGGATCGATGTAAAGTATAAAAATAAACAAAATTTATGTGAAATAAAAGCATTTGAGCGAAACATTAAAAAACCTATGATTTATTAATAAAAAAAAATTATATTTCTATCATTTTCTTATCTTGAGAAATACAAAAAAAAGTCATTAAGTTTTCGTTTTTTTTTTAAATTTTTTCTTTTTTCTATGCAATCACTCCATTTGTATAATCATATTCTATTTGTATAATCTAGATTCTGTCTGTGATTTGTTACCGAAAAATTCAAGCTAGATATATTGTAACTAGACATTATTGTTGCAACTTGTGTTGACTGACGTCCTAACAAATAGTTTCATATTTTTCTTCTGATTCATGAATTTAATTATTATTATGGAGCTTACAGGACTTTTTCATTCTTATATTTCTTCTTAACTTCCACAGTAGCTATTATAATAAATTTGACTTGTAGAATCGTTTTGTTCTGCTCTTATCATCCCAGGAATTGTTGGCGCTACATAAAATTGAATTATATCATAGCTATCAGCAGTTTGTCTAAATTGAAAAGATTCTCGTGTATATATAAACATGCAGGCAGCCTTATAATAAATGCTAAAAATTTCCTCAGAGAGCTTCAGAGAAATTTGGTGAACACTTACACTGAATATAACTTCCTTCGACAGTCCTTCTCATAGGACATGTATTAATGTGTTCTTCAATCTCACTTTTATTCAAACGATGAGTTGCATTGTATGGGCAGATAACCTTGTAATCGGGAGGGAAATTCTATACGAAAATTTCACATTCGTTTATATATTTCTCAAAATGGATCATAGTACATAAAATTATATAGTCACCTTTTCACATTTTACAAGGTGTCGCTGAAATTTCGAACTGGCTATACGATGATGGTTGTTGTAAGGGCAGTGAAGAACTTCGTCGTTATTGCTATTCATCTTCTGATGTCGTACAGTCACAACAATCGGCTAATATAATGTGTAAATAAATAAAGGTGAAAAAATATAATAAATATAAATTATCCAAGTTGTTTGATCCGTTATTAAAAGCGTACGAATCAACGTCTCAACAATCAGACTTGTCCCGATTTGGAGTCACTGGAGTTTGGAGTACAATAGTACATACATGCCTGATGCCGTGGCGGAAAACCCGGGAAAAACGCACCGACAAGGGCTGTGTTCCACTTAACGCTCATAACGCTCGTGGAATCATTTCATCCTTGTCGTTTATCAAATGTTAAACAAGGACAAACGATGCTCGCGAGCATTGCGAGCGTTAAGTGGAACGCAGCCCTTGGCCCTTGGCTAAGCCATTTCTGTGGATGCGCAGTAGGGATCAGTAGAGTCCTAGGTATCAATCAAAGACATAGGCCCGTATTCAGAACGCGCTTTTATCTCTGAAATTCTATAATATACGTGACGTAAAGTATAGTATGTTAGCGCCGCGCTAACATCATTGTAAGCGCGTTCTGAATATACGGGCCATAGAGTATAGAGAATGGACTGCGCGATCCGTCTGTAATTATGGCTGCTTTCCTTTTAGGAGACACAGTCGACACACTTGACACAAATCGACACACGTCGCTTTCCATTTACAATTTTGTTCAAACTCAATCGACA